ACCTCCCCTGGCACAGCTTGAGACCCTCTTGTCCTACTGCTGGTTCCTGGGAGAAGAGAACAACCCCCTCCAGGCTCCCCGCTCCTGTCGGGGAGTTGCAGAGAATGATGAGTCTCCCCTGAGCTTCCTCTTCTCCAGGCTGAGCCCTCCCAGCTCCCCCAGCCTCTCCTCATGGGAATTGTGCTCCAGTCCCTTCCCCAGCCTCCCTGCTCTGCTCTGCCCCTGCTGCAGCCCCTCCATGTCCTTCCTGACCTGAGGGGCCAGAGCTGGACACAGCACTCCAGGGGTGGCATCACAGGGACAGAATCCCTGCCCTGCTCCTGCTGCCACTGATCCCGATCCAGGCCAGGATCCCTTGGCCCTCCTGGCCCCCTGGGCACACTCTGGCTCATGTTCAGCTCCTGTCCCTCCACACTCCCAGCTCCCTTCCTGCCTGGCTGCTCTCCAGCCCCTCTGTCCCAGCCTGGATCTGCCGGGGCTTGTTGTGGCCAAAGGGCAGGACCTGCACTTGGCCTGGTTGAACCTCATCCCCCTGGAATCAGCCCATGGATCCAGCTTGTCCAGGTGCCTCTGCAGAGCCCTCCTGCCTTCCAGCACATCAACAACCCCCCAGCTTGGTGTCAGCTGCAAATCTGCTGATGGGGGACCCATCCCCTCATCTAAACAAAGACATGAAGCAGGGCTGGGCCCAGCGCTGGTGACCCCAAAAAACCTCCAGGCCCTTGGGCATTCCGGGGGTCCCCTGCGTGTGTGTGCCCCCCCAGCGCCCCCTCCCCGCTCACCTTGCGCAGCAGGAGCCCGTGGGAGATGTTCTCGGACACCATGAACCCCGACACCAGGTGGTGGATGGGCCCGGCCTCGCCGCAGTGCGGCCGCAGCACGAACGTGTGGAAGCCCCTCTTCCTGAGACACGGGGGGCACGTCAGCGGGGGGCACCCCGGACAGTGAGGGCACCAGAGGGATCCCAAACACAGCGGGGGCACCAGAGGGACCCCAAACACAACGGGGGCACCAGAGGGACCCCAAACACAGTGGAGGGTCATGGGAGGGCACTGAAGGGGACCCCAGCCACAACGGAGGGGCTGTGGGAGCTGAGGGGTATGAGGGATCTCTGTAGGATATGAGGGGGGTCTGTGGGAGCTGAGGGGGGTCTGTGGGATATCAGCGGTGTCTGTGGGACATGAGGGGTGTCTGAAGGATATGAGGGGTGTCCATAGGATATGAGGGGTGTTTGTGGGACATGAGGGGTGTCTGTGGGGTATGAGGGGTATCTGTGGGACATGAGGGGGGTTTGTGGGTGCTAAGGGGTGTCTGTGGGACATGAGGGGTGTCTGCAGGATATGATGGGTGTCTGTGGGTGCTGAGAGGATCCTCATCTCCCTGAGGGGTGTCCATGGGTGGGTGGGAGCTGAGGGGTTGCCCGTGGGGTGTTCTGGGTGCCGGGGGTGCCCCTGGGGTGCCCGTGGGGTGTCCATAGGGTGTGGGTGGGTGCCCCTGGGGTGTCTGTGGGTGGGTGGGTGCTGGGGGTGCCCATGGGGTGTCTGTGGGTGCCCCATGGGTCCCTCACCTGCGCAGGTGGTTGAGCACGGTCATGTTGGCGTACATGTAGTACAGGTAGTAGGAGTAGGGCGGGTTGTCCTCCTCCACCCAGTTCCCGGGCAGGGGGCTGTCCAGGTTGAAGATGTGATGCTCCGGCTTGGACTCGTCATCCACGCTGTCAAACCCATCCACCTGTAGGGCACCCACAGGTTTGAGGTCACCATCCCATCCCATCCCATCCCATCCCATCCCATCCCATCCCATCCCATCCCATCCCATCCCCCGTGCTGGGGGTCCCTGGGGGTCCCTGGGGGGACACTCACGTGCTCCAGGAAGAGGTGCAGCTCGGGGTGCTGGGCTGGGTGCACGGTGGCCTCGTAGAGGGGCAGGAAGATGTTCTCCAGCATCTCCTGGAAGTTGGCCAGCTGCCCCTTGGTCCGGTACACGTCACTGGGGGG